AGCTAAAATTAGACTTATTCAGTTGTAAAGCCTGGTCTGACAGTAAACCATACACAGCTCTTCTTCCTTTATTTTTCCAGATAACATGGCACACTGCATTAAAATTCTAGACTAGAGACTCATGAGGCCAAGGCAGGAAGATTGCTTGAGGTCATGAGTTCAAGACTAGCTTGGGCAATATAGTGAGACTCCATCTTGACAAAAAAAATTTTTTTTTAATTAGCCAGGAAAAGTTGATCTCCCCTGTAGTCCCAGTTACTTAGGAAGCTGAGGCAGGAGAATTGCTTGTGCCCAGAAGTTCAAGGCTGCAGTGAGCTATGATCACATCACTGCATTCCAGTCTGGGCGAAAAAAAGAAATTCTAGACTAAAAATTCCCTTAAAACTAGCACTATTTATGATTCATTCTTATTCACAAAGTATGGCACATAATAAGTGCACAAAAAACATTTCTTTTACAAGTGTCTCCAAGTATACTAGGCTTTGAAAGAATACTTTTGGGATTCATATTTCAGAACCCATTAATTAATGATGAGATTATCATCATGAAGTTCTTCCAGAAACGAAATTTACCATGGGAAAGTTCAAAAACAGACCCACATACTATACTTTGGATTCAGGTGGATCATGTTTTAATGGCACTCCAATGTAATGGTAAAGCTATAAAGGACTGTAGTATTAAACCTGTGAGTAATCAAGAAACAAATGTAATCTGAAGCATTTCCCACACATGGGAGAGTGAATTACCTTAAAGTTACAGAATTAAAGTATATTAAAACTTAGTATCAAACCTTGAGCTTAGCTTTAAAAGAAAATTCCTTTGTATGGAGTACCTTTTAACACAAATAATATTCATATACTCATCCCAACCATAATTGCTCAATCCTCTGTACATTCACTACACTTCATATAAACCTTTTAGCTCTTATTTCATTGTACTGGACTCATCTGCTTACATGACTCCATTAGACTGCAGGCTTTTTGAAGGTAAACTGCCATTCACTTTTGTATCTCAGTGCTTAGCAGCAAATAGATTCCTCCCAAAGTCATTTGTTAAATGATTTAAATAGTATTCTTACATCTATAAATAATCCTGCAATAATTTTACAAAAGAAAATTAGGTTTAGAGGTTAAGTAACCTGGCTGAGATCACACAGCAAGTAGGATAATGAAATCAGAATTCAAATCTAGGTCTTCAGTCAACAAATTTTATACTTTTTCTACTACCTCATACATATTACCACAAGTAACTACAAGTTGTATAAGAAGTAAGTCCTATAGTAGTTATCTGTTGCTAAAAAGCAACAACTCAACCATAAAATTGAATCACAAAAAAACTACAAAAGTAAATGTCCTTTAAAAACAATATCTTTGAATTTAAAGGTCATTTATTCCATTTATAAATATACAAAACTGTCATACAAAGTTAGTTAGTACTACAATAGTCTCAACAAAATATTGCTATAGGAATTTAAGCTTTTACCTTGTACTTCTTTATCATGACACTCTTTTAGTTTTGTCCAAAGCTCCTTAAAGTCATTAGATATATCTGCAGAACTAGGGCTTCCACAACTGCTTCCAGAGATGTTCATCTTGCTTAATATGCTTCACACTTCTGTTTGATCAGTATTTTCTGACCTTTTGTTACATTATGTAGTTATGAAGTTGTCTTTGAACAGTTGAAATATCTGAAATGATAGATTGCAACATAAATGAATCTTGCATTTATCTTTATGTAATTTGAAGTCAGGATGAAACACAAGCTCAAGTTCTCCTTATTTACCTACAATTAATTGTGCTGTGAATTTGAAAAGAGATGGGAGAGAGTGAGGAAAGATGATTATGATGAGAAAAGCCCTGATATCAGTTATTTGGCCTTTATATAAGGTAAATGTTCAGGTAAATTTTCTCTTATTCTTCCAAGAAAGGAGTAATGACCTAAATTATATAAAGTTGAAAGGATTCAGATATTGAAAGGTTCATAATTATTCATGGTCAGAACTGATTTACTATTATAAAAGAATTTATTTCTCTTTTAAGTTTTAAATGGATGTAGAGTACAAAAACATACTGAACCAAAAAATGAAAAATATTCTGAAATATTCTTTAGCATTAACAAGCCTCCACATATATGTACACATTATAAAAAAGACAGATGATTAACGCAGATGAGGATCTGTATAACTTTCCAAAAGTTAGTAAGATATAGACACAGTTAATATCTGTAAATACAGAAACAGTTTATTTTTAGAGGTACAAGACAATTAAGAGTAAAGCTACTTTATGCCTCCCTCAGAATAAAGGTGAATGCTTAAGTTTATTACTTGTATAGCCCTTGAAGGAAGTCATAGGCTATCAAGAAGTTCAAATGGATCAAAAAATATTTTAATATGCCTTCTTAAAGTGAAATCATTAAGTAGCTACCATTTAAAAAGTAAAATGATTAGCAACTCTATTAAACCTCACATCTGGCTCCTTAGCCGATGCCATACCATTGCTAATGAGTGCCTATCTGATTTAAGTGTCTCTTGCTAATCATTTCTTGAGGTCTCTGATGAATGAGCTAAAATAAACAATGATAATTCTAAAGGAGGCAAGAGTATGTGTGAAGCCACTTGGTGAACTGTAAATCATTATGGAAATAAATATACACTTTTATTAAGCTTTTCAAAAATTGCAGTTAGCTTTTTTAAAAAAACAATCAGCAAAAACTGAACATGTACTGGATTTTCGATGTTAGGGAATTACTGTTAATTTTCTTAGGTATGATAAGGATGTGGTCATGTTTTCAAAAACGTCTGTTAAAGGGATATCTACTGAGGTATTAAAGGTAAAGTGACACATTCGCTGGGATTTGCTTGAAAATACTCCAGCTAAAACCAAAAATGGGCATTGGGTGGGAAGATGAAACAAGAAGAGCTGAACTTTGACAATTATTGAAGCTGGGTGATGAATAGGTATATGAGGGGCTTCACAATTCCAGTGTCTCTCTTATGTACATTCCGTAAAAAAAAGTTTTTAAAAGCAGGATTGAGTGCACTGCATTAGTACAGCTTTGCTTCCAAACAGGCTTGCATTCTACTGCTTTTTAACCCCAAATCCATGAGCCTATATAAGAGTCAATAACTCTCACCACTTATTGTTATAGCAAGATTGTGCTATTTTATATTCATTATTTTACTTAATCTTCAGAACAACCCTATATAAGACAGGTACTATCATTAATTTAATTTTACAGTTGGGTAAACAGGTGTAACGAGATTAAATGATTCCTCCAAGGTCATACAGCTAGGACATGGCTATGTCAGGGCTGGGACTCAAGTCATGAGATCAGCAACCATAAAATATCTCTCTGTGGAAAAAAAAAAGCGGAGGGTACTAATTATTTTTATTAAGTAAATAGTTTAAAATAAAGGTTTAATTACTTTAATGAATAATTTAAGATTGCACAATATATCAGTTGAAAACCAATAGAGTAAAACAACTATCCTTAAGAAAAGCAACTTTCACCTGAGGTAGTTTAAAAAGTGCTTTTTTAAAACCACATTAGAAACTATTCATCAGTATTGAACTTGCAAATTCTGGCTCACAAAATCCTTTCCACCTATCCCGCACGCCCAGCACTCTCCGTTGGCATCTCTCCTTGCCATTAAACCGCTATTCGCTGCGTCTTAATCTCTGAGAAACGTACATCTTGCCTCCCAAGTTGCACTCTGCCCTCAAAGGCCTGTAATAACTGAAAACATTTCGGTGTATCCCTTAGCAGTACAAGTCACCAAAATGAAGGTGTCTAATAAAATATTTACTGTCCCACCACACGTATTCTCACAGAGGTATGGCAAGAGGCACGCCTTGAGTCACACAGGTCGAGACCTAAACAAACTTCAAAGGGCCTCTGGGCAGTCCTCTTACATGACCAAAGCAGAGGTGCAAGGCCCCTCATCCCAGGGCCCTTCTCCATCAGCCTCTCCCGGGTGGCACGCAGATTTCGCGTGCGGGTCTGGAGAAAAAGCTCCAAAGGCTAACAGCACAGCAGACGCGTAAAACGCGCGTGCGACGCTCGGCGCATGCGCGGGGCGGGCTCGGCGCTGGGAGGCGCCTCCTCAGCGCGCGCGGGAGACCAAAGAACTGCCTGCAGCTCGAGCTCGTCCTCCAGCCGGTCCACCTGCGCCGACTTTAACCTGAGCCCAACCTACTTCCTCAGACACAGTCCTAGAGCCGGGCAGCCACCCCAACCCCAGGAGCCAAATACCTGGGTTCAGCGCGCAGCTCCAGACCGGAAGTAGCCGCTGCGACCCACCGCTTTGGGTAGGGGGAAGGAGATTCCTCTTACTCACAGATTCCAAGATTGCTCGAGATTCGCGAAAGGTCCAGAAGGGAAGCCGGAACCTTCTGGAGTTGTGAAGGGACGGCTGCTCGCTTTCCTCCTCTTTTGCTCTTTTTCCTCACCGGAGTGCCAAACCCGCGGCGGGAAAGCCGGCCCCTGTGGGCGGCCGGCGCTATAAGGCCCGGGGCAGCCTGCCGGGCTCGGAGGCGGCCAGACCCGCCCCGCCAGAGCCCGCGCAACGTCACGCGGGAGTTCCCGTTGCGTCACGCCCCTTCCTCCAGCCGCGCAGCCCGGCGGCGCCCCTCGCGCTCTTACTGAGGAGCTGGTCTGGGGTGCGGCCCTAAGGAGCCGGCTGACCATACAGTGGAGCGCCGCCTGCACGCTGCCAGGAGTGGGCCTAGGAGCCTGGCTGCAGCCCCGGCATTTTTAAGATGCGCTGGAGAAAACTCAAGCTGCTTTGTCTGACGAGCATAAAGTCCATGGTGTTACGTAAAGTTACCTTAAGTGTGTCTGACGTAAGCATTTTGGAAAAGAAAGCACGTATATGTGACCTGTACCAACGAGGGGTTAAAATTAACTGATTTGGGAATGGATACGGATCAATCTAACGTAGTTTTCATCCTTGTAGCTGTTACCTGGCGATATGATCTGACAGGACTGGATGCCATATATCAAAACGATGTGTATTTGGTTGAGGTTAGATGGAAAGTTTCTGGCAAACCTGAAATGAGAGTGAATCTGAAGCAGTCGACATTATTTGTTGGGACATGTTGTTAGGTAATGTTTTTTTTTTTTAAAAAAAAAAAGTAAAATTTTTCTGTAGCTGTTCATTTGATATTCAAACTGAGAATATGTGTTCCTATTTTTCTTGATTTCTAAGGGAATCGTTTTTGGAGCACTAGAAATTCTGCAGGTGAACAAAATGGAATAAAGTAGAATCACAATATCTTTTAAACCAGTCCTATACTTCTGTGTAATCATTCTAAGACCTGGCCTGGACAAGGGGTAATTCTGTAAACGTAAAGTTTTAGTACTTAGAAAATATAAATACAAAGTATAAAGATAATTTTTCCACCCACCCCAGATCTTAAGAGATGAATAAATACCATAACTTGCTCCTTGGAATTGTACAACAAGATGTTATCTACCATTCTAGCATTGCCATAGGAGAGTTGTTATAATGAGAACTGCTGAAACTTCATTACTCTGTTGTAGCAATTCTCTTTCACTTCCCAATTTTACAAGACTCGGTAACATTTTTAAAAGAGAATGTCTGAGAAATTGACCATGCCATTTCCTATACAACATAGGACACATTGGCAAAGTGAAGCTTGTATAAACATTTATCATGGAAATGGAGAGAGTTTTGTTATAAATAGAGATAACCTATAATCACTTTGTCATTTTATAGCATGCTGGAAGAACAGTGTACTTGTGGTCCAGAGAACAGCTATCTGAACAGAATAACCTAACCTGTTCTTATGGCTTCTGCCAGTGACTCACTATCTAATCTATTTATGCAAGTCCAATCCAAAGAATCATCCTCGACACTTTCTTCTTCCTTAACCCTCATATCCAGTCCATCACTGAGTCCTGTCAGTTTTACTTATAAAACATCTAAATCCATCCCCTTCTCTCCATCACTGCCTTCATAATCCAAGATACCATTATCTTACCTAGTCTGCTAGTCTCCTTTCCATATCCACCTAACCAACCACCCCACCTAAACCTTTGTCTTCACTGGTGTTCAGAAAAATTTTGAGCATCTATTCCCAATTCATGTGCATATTTAATTTTAAATTATATACATGTATTGCTGAAAGATGGTATGTGGTCTAATGAGTAAGTTACAGGCTCTGGAGTCAGACCTTCTCGGTTTGAATCCTGCTCTAATACATCCTGACTGAGTGACCTTGAACTGGTTGCTTTAACCTCTCTGTCTCATTTTTCCTACTTGTAAAATGAGGATAATAATACTACCAACCTTACAGGGTATGAAAATTAAATGAATTAATGTACACTGCTTAGTACAGTATTCATATGCATAATACAGGCTCAATAAAATCTAGCTGTTATTTGTACTTCTGAGCTAATAAACTATAATACATTTTAAAAAACTTTCAAGGATGAAAAAAATAGAATAAAAATTGAGTATCTTCTCCCCCCACCTTAAATTGCGTCCACTTTGAAACCACTTCTCTACCCTGCAGCTGTTATGATCTTCTTGAAAAGTAAATGTCACTCTGGTGCTTAAGCCCCTTCAATGGCTTCCTCTTGCTCTGTGAAGTGACCCTTTGAATTACCTCTACTGTCTATCCAGCCCTATTTCCAAACATTTTCTGCTTTCTAGGCTCACTGGCCTTTTAGTGTCTCCTAGGTCATTTTATGCTGTTGCCTCTGCCTAGAATTCTCCACCAAACCTACACCCAACTCTTTGCCTGGATATATACTAATCATCTTTCTAACTTATTTCAATAGTTTCTTCTATTAGATCTTATAATACCGTGTACCTCCCTAGATTAAAGTTTTTGCCATTTTAGTTATTTAATTAATCCTGTCTCCCCACTAGACTAAGTTTTGTGAGGTCAAAAACTATGTCTGATTTTTTCTCCAGGAACTAAAACAGCCTGCCACAGAGTCAGTATTTTGTGGATAAGTGAATGAATTGGGCATCCCTTGATGGATTCCTGTTTTTATGTAAGTGAAAATCTTTGGATACTTTTTAAACTCTTAGGTTTTTAAATGAGATTTTATAATGGTCACTTTAACAATGGAAATGGTAGGCATACTCATAGATATTTGCCACTAGTAAGGGCTCTAAGACCTACATGGAATAATTTCGAAGTCCCAAAGATCTACTGAGAAAAGTGTTTAACAAAGCAGTTATTTTGAACTCTTCTAATACTGGGTTTCTTATATTTTATGGCTTAGAACAGTATTTCCTGAACTTTTTCAGTTTCGGCATACTTGGAAAATGAAAACTTATTATTACATATTGTGATGAAAAGGTGAGGCTACTTCTACCTAGAGGCAACAGAATTTGGGACTCTAGCCACCCCATACCCAGTGCTACCACCTTAAGGGCTGAGATATTAATGTCCCAAGACACCTATAAAATCACCTATAAAATCCCTGGTTAGGATGCTCGATTTAAAAATTGTGTGGTTAAAATGGTAAATTTTATGTTATGTATATTTAGCACACACAAAAATTGTGTGATAGCAGTATACAAACTCTAGAATTCTTAAAAGTAGAATTTTGGAACTCACGTAGATTTTTAAATTGTCTAACTCAAGCCATTTTTCAGTGAAATTCTGCTGATTCTACAATCTGTTTAACTCATCCGAGTAGCTAAGTGTTATGAAGGGAAAATCACCTATCAGGTTAGATTGATATCACTAAAATCACCTGGTTTCAAACCTCATGCAGGGCATCCATTAATCCTTAGAATAGCTTTTGTTCAGCTCCTTCTATTCCCTTTGTTATCTTCCAAACCTTCACTATTTTTAATCCTCAGGCCTCTGTAAGGTATTTTCACTCTCAGCAGACAACCTGTCCTGATTAGACAAGACAATTGAGCTTAACAAGTATGATCTTCCTAAACTTCCCTTTTTCTTTCTCAACTCTGTGAATTAGGCAATACCATTTTGCAGTTAAAAATACTACCTAAATCCAATTGCTTTTCACCACCTTCTTTACATCCACACTGGTCCAAGCCACCCTCAACCTCTTCTATAGGAATAGCCTCCTTTTTTAAAAAAAAAATCAATTTCTTTCTATTTTCACTCTTTCCACTCTTACAGTATATTCTCCAACGGCAGTCAGAATGGCCCTTTAAAATCTGTCAGAACATCACACTCTCCTGCTCAAAACATTCCAGGGTCTTCTCATCATCTTAGACTAAGACCCAAACTTCTTTCCCAGAGAGTCAGGACAAGTCAGTCACTATAGTCTACTTATGTTACCTCCGAAAAGTAATTTTGAATTAGCGCTTTCCTTTTCATCCTTGTTCTTTTTGCTCTAGTTTAGGCATTGATATTTCTTAAACTAAGCAACAGCCTCTTTGCCTCCAGACTTGTTCACCTTATTGCCTAAAAGTTTAAAATTCAATCCCTTTAAAACATCATAGAAGCCCTTCCTTAGCCTTGCACACTCTGTCACACACTTTGCTCTTCTCCTCTATCAACAGGAAACTGTGTTCATTCCTTCCCTCTGCTGTTTCTTTGTCTTGGCTCATACAATGCTTTTCTCTTGGAATTATCTCCATCCCCACCTTTTACACTTCACCTTTCTATTTATTCTTTAAGACTTAGTTCAGGTAGCACCTCTTCCAGGAGACTAACCTAAGATCTCTGTTTACCCTTCCTACCTACTCCCTTCCACAAATGGTCCTCATTCTCCCAAACCTCTCAATACATATTTTTATATTGCACTTAACACCTTTATACTGTAATTATTTTCATGTTTTTATCTTCAGCTGGGTTGTGGGCTCCTTGATGTCAGAGACTGTGCTTTCTTTATTCTCAGTTTTCCTGGATCTTGCTAGAGAGTCTTAGCACAGCACATTATCTCATAGAGCCACATATAAAATTTAAAAGTTTCTAATAACCACATTTAAAGAAGTAAAAACAAACAGATGAAATTAACTTAATCCAATTATCTAACATTGTTTCAATATATAATCAATATAAAAAGTAATAAGACTTTTAATATTCTTTTTCTTCATACTAAGTCTTTGAAATCTGATATGTATTTTACCTTTTATAGCACATCTCAGTTTGGACTAGACACATCATTTCAAGTGCTCAAGGCCACATGTGGCTAGTGGCTACTGTTTTGGACAGCACAGGATCATTATATGTAATCATGTGATGAACAGATGAGATTATGTGATTTACTTAAAGAACCAAGATGGAGCTGGGACTAGGACATGGGTGTCTGATTCTTAGCCTAATGCTATTTCACTATTTGTGCCTGGCATTTCCCGTCTCTGTCCCACTCCTCACATCATCCCGTCTCCTGGCCCCTCAGCATTGAGTACATGTATCTCCAGTCACAGAATTAAAAAGTAAGTGGTTAAATCTTTTATGATTAGTTACATAGTACTTTCTAGCATCTCTAATATGAACTAGTGCTTTCCATACCAATACTGGTAAACTAGTGAGCTGTTATACCTGTAGTCAGAACTGTTTCAAGAATAGGACAGAATGCTGTTTGAGACACAAGAGGGATGAGTAGCTTTAAGACAAAAGAAAATTATGTTAACTGTTAAAATTTGTGCCAACTTAAGTGAACATTTGATTTAATTTTTAAAAATTGTTTATAGTAGTTAGTACATGTTGTTTGTGAGTGGGAGTATACATCAATTAGTGATCTTGCTCCAAGGGCCAAAATATTTTGTTTAGGATTTGAGATGATGGTGCCAAAATTGCAGTTAGGTTGAGCAGTTTTACAATTGTTTTAAAATATATTTAACATTCACGGAGTGTGTCAGTATCACAGTTTTATTTTGACAATATATTAAGTGTTCATTTGAGTGCTTATAATGGACATAAAAGATTATGCATTTCTTTCCCATTAGATCAGTCTCATGTAGTATGGCCAACTTCCAACTTATATAAAGAAACTTTATTTTGATCTTTACTATAGCTACATTGGACTTCATACCTTCTTCATTTCCTTTTGTAAACTATTAAAGTAGTATTTTGTTTGTTTTTAAACATTCACTGAGCTACTTCATTTCACTCAGTAATGGGCAAAAGGTTTTACTGGTATATAATTTGCCTACTTTAGGAGGTATCTCTTTACACTTTGTAAAGAATGTTATACAGTATATTCATAGTTGCCTAGGTTTAAATTATAATGGGTTGATAAAAAATTTTATTGTCTGTTATTTGTAATATAATTTATTATCAATGGAAAAGGACATCTGTATCTTCCATGTCATTTATTTATAATGCAGTGGCTGTTAGGCAGTATTTCATATCTATGCATATGGGTTCATGAAGCCCTGTAATTTTGTTAGGTGGTTAGCCTGTAGGCTTTGTCTCTAACACTGGTGCTTTCTTAAAAAAATGATTTTTATTGAGGTAGAATATACATATATAATTTACCATCTCTACCATTATTAGTTGTATAGATCAGCGGTAACAAATACACTTATATATTTTTTTCGTCCTTCCTTTTCCCTTTCCACCTCCCTTCCAAGCTTCTGGTAACCACCAATCTAGTCTCCATTTTCATGAAATCTACTTTTTTTCAGTTCTCCTATATGACTAGACATGCAATATTTGCATTTCTGTGCTTGGCTTATTTCACTTAACATAATTGCCTCCAGTTTCATCCATTTTGCTGCAAATTCCTTTCTTTTTTATGGCTGAATAATATATTCCACTAGAACAGTGACACTTTTAAGAACCTCAGAACTTAACTGCTAAAGAGATGATAAAAGAACTTAAGAGTGATCATTTAGACTATAGAGTAGAAAAGTTTACTTTATTTTGGGAATATTGAAAAACTAATTTTTATCCAGCAAATAAAATACTACATTGTCCTGTGCACATATGTGTAATGCTACCATGACACAAGCTATGGGAATAATATTTATTTACAGCAATGTAAATGGAAAATATTATGTAGGGCTAACTGTAGGAACAAATCACTGCCATTTAGAGTCTGTTAATTAAAGCATTCCTTGGTAGGTTCACAAGAGCAAACAAGTTTAATATTCATTGATTTGTCACTTAAAAAATAATGAATCATATCTGAAATGGTAATTTTTTTCATCCATGAACTGATGAATTTATTCACTGCTGACAAATATTTATGATCTTTAATGTACCTAATGCATCATAAATTACAGATGTATCTTTTTTTTTTTTTTTGAGACAGTCTCACTTTGTTGCTAGAGTGACTGCCATGGTGTCAGCCTAGCTCACAGCAACCTCAAACTCCTGGGCTCAAGCTATCCTACTGCCTCAGCCTCCCGAGTAGCTGGGACTACAGGCATGCACCACCATGCCCGGCTAATTTTTTCTATATATATTAGTTGGCCAATTAATTTCTTTCTATTTATAGTAGAGACGGGGTCTCACTCTTGCTCAGGCTGGTCTTGAACTCCTGACCTTGAGCGATCCACCCGCTTCGGCCTCCCAGAGTGCTAGGATTACAGGCGTGAGCCACCATGTCGGCCTACAGATGTATCTTTAAACACACTGTATGACCTTTTTTTTTCAGTCTTTCCCTGTTCTAATTATGCTTGAGAAAAATGGATTTCTTTAAAATACTGGTTTTTCCTTCTCCTAATCCATATGTTAGTCTAAGGTTAAGAAAGTTTTGATAGTTACTTTTCCAAAGATAAATTCAAAAGTTCAAAAATGTTTTATGTTCAAAATTAAGTTCTTAAAGGATACCCTGAGTTTTAGCCAATACTTTTTCAATTTTAGTTAAGTTCTAATCAGAAGTATTAAAAATTTACAGTGAAATTATGTTTTAATCCTCTTCATACTCTTGGTGAGAGTGTGTTTTGTGGACTCTTGAGGATATTAAAGTTGAAATAGATAAGTTTCCTCTTCTCAAATCTACACCTAGTAGTAAAGTGACTATGTGCCCTAGCTTTCCAACCACACTCCTGATTAATGTCTATTGTTCTAGCTTAATTATTAATAGGGCTCCCTTTTACTCTCAAAAATGTCCTGGTTTGGGTGATAAATCATGTGGTTAGAAGCTTTAAGGAATTTGAAATGCAAGCTAATAAAAAAAGGAAGATTTAGATGTTCTTTTGTAGTCAGGAGTATTTCCTTCTTATCCATGTACAGATCTAGCTATATTCTTTTTAAAGATTATAACATAGATAATACAAGCCACAAAAGAATTACCCTGATTTATTAATAGTACTCTGAAATTCCTATGAGTTAAGAAATGATTTGTTTAATACTTACAAGAAATTTGAGAACAATTAACAATAGTAAAATACAAAGTACTTTTTCTACATATCTTTTGAACCAAAAAATAACTGTCATAAAGGTAGAACATGTACAGTTTTCATTTTTTCACAGATGTTGATAAATCAGGTGGTTTGACTAGCATTGTATGTACAAACTAGTAGATAAATAGACCCAAGACTTCAACTCCAGATTTCTGGTACTCTTTTCAGTATACCATACAGTTTTCAAATAACAGATATATATTTGTTATCAAAAATATATATATAAATATATTTCAAATAACAGAATATATATATCTTATGCTGCTTTTCTACTTTTTAATGTAGAAAATGTTTTTGAGAAAATAACAAAGTTTCTGAATTTTGACCAAGAATTATTGTTACATAAAGGCGAATTTGCAGTCCTAGTACATTTTTCTATTTACTTCAATAAGCTTTACATTTTAAGAAGTAACTAAAAGAGCTTTTACATTTGATAGCAATTTAATTTGTCTCGTAAGTAAGGAGAGGAAAACAAACCATGTTCTCTCAGGCAGGGTTGGAATGAAGCACCTGTTGTAACCATTTCAGTTCATTTTTTTTTCTTTTTTTGCATTAATGTATTTCTTAGGATTTTTAGCACACATGCTCTTTTACTTGCCTTACAATTGATGTGCATGTTTGAGACATGACTATAAATTGACTTTTAATGGAAATAAGCAAAAATGTTATATTGGCTTTCCCAGCCCTGAGTTGTGGATTCTTTCTTCTACTAAGTTTAAAATTAAATAGATTGAAGGGCCTTGAATTATGTAGTACTCTACAAAGGGACCAGAGCAGGAAGTACACCAAAAATTATGACCATATTCTACAGTCAATGATGGCATATAGCCATATTCTCAGCCTTATGTTACTGTAGAAAGAATCCTGAGCCAGGAGATAGGACCAGGGTTTAAACCTTGGCCCTATCTCTGATTATCTAAATGTTTTCTGAACAAGTCTTATTTCCCTAACTGAAAGATGAGAATATGAAGACTTACTGTGCCCAAAGGGGTTGTTGTAAGGATGAAACAATATATTTGAAATTTCTTAAAGACTTTGGAGACATTTGAAACAGCTTGCCTATTGGGAGTAGAATGGCAGAAGGCTTTCCAGGCAGAACTCGCATACAGAGCTTCTGCTGTGCTAAGTCATTATGAGTTCTGGAAACTGCAAATATATAGTAATGTGTTTGTATAGATTATTACTGGGAAAGATCAGCAGCCCCATCTAATTTGCTGAATGAATTCAAATGTATAATTCTAATCCTATTGAAAAAATAATTTAAATTTCTCTGTACTTTGGTTGTTTATCAACGAAATGAAGATAATAATATATACCTTGGGGATTTTATAGGATTTGGGATTTTATAAGATTTAACAAGATATACATATGTATCCAAAAATGTAATAAATAGTTGTTAAGAGTGGATAAACTTAACAACTACAGCTAATCAGAGATCTCCCCAATTGCTAAAGTTGTATAATTCTAGTGAAATTGTTGAATTATTATGCAAATTGTGAGAGATGTATAATTACAGAAGGATTTAATTATAATTTAAGTGCTTTCACATATAGTCTCTTTTTTTTTTAGCTTGCCTGTCACCATGAATTTACATATATTATCTTACTTGATTTATATAATTGAGTTTAGGTAAGCCAGGTAATATTATTACATAATTGTTGTTATTATTTTTATTATATTCTAAGGGATTTTAAAAAATCATCTAGTCCAACAGCAAAACTGTATAGAAAGGAGAAACTAATTTATTCATTTATTTTAGGAATTAATGGTTGTTAGAGATAATTTATTTAACAGTGATTTATGATCTATTCAGCTTCAAGTCAAAGAAAGGAAGTGTTGGTATCAAGCTGATTGTGATCTAAACTCATTTAATGAAGACCTGAGTATATTTGATCCCTCCCTTTGAAAATAGTATCTGTTACTATTGGGCTTTGTTCAGCAGAATGTGTCTCCACTTTTTGTTATTTGCTGTTCTCTTCAGTTTTCCTATTTCATCTTAATTCAATTCATTAGCTACTTTAACCACCTTCTAAGGAGAGAAAATTATTTTTTTGAAAATTCCTATTTAATTATTTTATTTTAACAGAATTCAAGTTAAAAGATGATATGCTTTTAGTCAGATTTCTTTTTATTTGCCCTATTTGTCCTTCACTTTTTCTAAACTAAGTTTATACATTATACAAACAAATATAGTATTTATTTGATGAAAGCACATGACTATTAAGTTTTTCTGTTTTTAATCTGCATGACTAGAGCCTTCATATAATGTATTCCAAGCTCCAAGATCCCATTATAGGTTGTAATGAATTACTTCTTGTAACCAGACCCTCTTGGACACAGTCCAAGATAAACTTGTACTATTCAAAATTCTGTGTTTCACTATAATAAGAAGTGTTACTTGAGGATCCAATCTAGCCAATCTGTTTTCAGTATAATTTTACCAATGAAAAATCTTAATCAAGTCTTAGGATTAATGCTGGACATAAAAGTATTTACAGAGTACATACTAATGTTCATTTTGCTGTTGTTTGGCCCTTTAAAAATTAGCAACCAAATTCAGGAAATAAATTGTAATTTATTAGAAAATACCTTTCTCACAGAAGATCAAGTTTCAGTGCATCTCAGGTTTTGTGGGAATGGATCAAATACATCAGACAAAAATAGGCTAAAGTTCCTTACTCTCCCTTTGAAACTGCTGTACTCATTTCTCAGAAAATCCATTTTAGTTATATCATGCATTTGAATTTTATTGGTAAAATGAAAGAAAAGGCAGTTTAACCATATTTGTCCTATAATACAGTTTATTGGACACCTCTTGGACTTTGTTTGCTCTAGCTATTTCAGTGGCAACCAGATTCATGCAGATGAAACCTGACAGCCCTTCACCTGACTTTTTGCCCTGTGGGCTTCTCTGAAACCAGTGGGAAAAAAGGTGTACAATTTGAAAGTGTAAGAAATTAGCAATCTGTGAGGCAACCCCTAACTGGTGGAAATCAGAAGTAGTGGATAAATGCTCTTCTTTTGTGTCCTTTGACAGGGTATTCTAAGGAAGTTTCATGGCTCCTAAGAACATAACTAGGCTTGAGCCCTATTTGTTTGAAGTGGGGGATGAACTCAAGAATGCTCTCTTGTATTTGCTTTCCCTCCTTCCCTATGTCCTTCCCCTAGTCCCCTACTCCTGTTCTGTGATGCCTTCCCAAATAAAGAACTTTCACATAAATTGGAGGACTCAGGTTTTACTTTCCATGGAGAACCTAGACTAAAAGATAAAGGGAAAACATGAAATTTCTGTGTCACTATTTTTAAATTATTAATGGAGAATTTAACTTCTGAAAGTTGGCATGCATGAATAGGACAGTCAGATTAATTGTATCAGTCATTTAAAATGATGTTAATGCTGATCCAAGATTGACTGGACATGTGCATTTGAGGTTATTTTTCTGTTAGTGTTAATGGGGTGCATTTCAAGGGACTCTTATGCTTGCTCATTCTCTCTTACAGGCAGAATATTTTCTTGCTGCTTTCCTAGGATATACCAACCAGGGATCCTAATGTGATATGTCTGGATTGGAGTTTAGCAATCAGCATTTTTTTTTTGGAGACAAGGTCTTGCTCTATCACCCAAGCTGGAGTGCAGTTATTGTAACCTCCAACTCCTGGGCTCAAGCAATCCTCCTACCTCAGTCTTCCAAGTAGCTGGGACTACAAGCATGCAGCGTCATGCCTGATTAATTGTTTGTAGAGGGCAACTCACTATGTTGCCCAGGCTGGTCTTGAACTCCTAGCCTCAAGCAGTCCTCCCGCCTCAGCCTCCCAAAATGCTGGGATTACAGGCTTGAGCAACCGTGTTTGGCTGCAATCAGTATTTTTTTAATAGACATCCTCCAGGTGAGTAAGATGGCCCATGGACTATACTTTGAGAAACATTGCTAGGTTGATACGGTAGTAATACTGCTGAGTATAATCTGTGATTATGCAAAGCTAACTGGCTCTACAAGGACCGAATTAGTATCTCGGCACCGTTAATCAAAGGGTCTAATAAACTGAGCTAACAACCCACACACTGGTAAATCAGATTAAAAAGATTTTAATTTTTATTTCAGAGTCACTACTCTTCTTTTATGGAAATTTGATTTGATATTAACTTTATTTATTTATTTATTTATTTTTTTGAGACAAAGTCCCGCTTTGTTGCCCAGGCTAGAGTGAGTGCCATGGTGTCAGCCTAGCTCACAGCAACCTCAAACTCCTGGGCTCAAGCAATCCTGCTGCCTCAGCCTCCCGAGTAGCTGGGACTACAGGCATGCGCCACCATGCCCGGCTAATTTTTTCTATATATATTAGTTGGCCAATTAATTTCTTTCTATTTATAGTAGAGACGGGGTCTCGCTCTTGCTCAGGGTGGTTTCGAACTCCTGACCTCGAGCAATCCGCCCGCCTCGGCCTCCCAGAGTGCTGGGATTACAGGCGTGAGCCACCACGCCCAGCCTGATATTAACTTTAGTATTAACTAAATACTTGGCTCTAATTTTAGTATTAACATATGGCTTATTAGGGTTGCAAGGAACTGCTTAGAGTTTAATTTATGCTAGATATTTGGGATTCCTGGTGGAAATATAGCAACATGTCATTCATATGAAAGAAGTATACACTCACATCTTAACAAGTAAAACTGTGGGAAAATAGACTGTGATATTGATGTGATGGAATGGCCTAAACAACTTTTCTTGCTGAATGGCCTGTAGTTAGGTTGCAGTGGTAGGGTTAATTCTATATTATAAACAGTATACTTGTTCCTGAGCAACATATATTTACTTTTAATTGTATCAAACAATTGCTTGGAAAATGACTAGAGCAGAATTCAACAAGTCTCGAAAATGCTATGTAGATGATGGTATTTATCATTTAGTACTTAATATTATTGCATTATTGGTAAAACAATATTTCCAGAAGTGAATGATTCTACTATCTCAGGCTGTATTTCATCTAGTTTCAGTTAGGAGACCCCTGCCATACAAATTTAGACCTGTATAGGTTAAATGTAAATTTTTTTATGGAAGACTTCCGTCACAGAGCAATTCTCTAATATTGCTTCATGTCCGTAACTACTGTTTTGCAAGCTACATAAAGTTATAATTTATCTTGTATTTCTTAATGTTTCACGATTCATTCAGAAATTCATTAGCTTTAAAATGTCTATATTAGGAATGAGAAAAACTTCCTTCTAACATGAAAACATTTTAAACTGACCCAACTTTAATTAGGCAAGGTCTTAGAATGTTTGTCACAGTATTCTGAGCTCCTTTCTAGCCAATGACATACATTTCATAAATAGCTCCTGTGTGATCTTTGCTCATTGGCTCCATCCCCTAATCAATTAATCTGTCTGAGGCTAATTTAATGTTATCTTTAGAAAATGTTAATCCTATTCTATCTTCTTATACCCAATACATTTGAACTTAATCTTCTCCTCATTATTTACTATCAGGAGAATGTAATATAATTTAATATTAACCTATAATAAATTTAATTCAAATTTAATTCAAATGAATTTAATTCAGAATGGAATCTTTTGGAGGAAAGAAAACATTCTAGAGTACTGAAGAAATCATTCAATTGGTAGTAGAACACAATCCTAAGAGCATATAGAAATCCTTGGCCAACTAATTTGATGTCATGTGAGATAACAAATATAAATAGCCTTCAAAAAACTCAAGGTAGTTGCACAAGTAAGGTACGGTCATGCCCTGCATTAATGATGTTTTAGTTAGTGGACCACGTACACTACAGTGGTCCCATAAGATTATAATATAGTATTTTTACCGTACCTTTTCTATGTCTAGATATGTTTAGATACACAAATACTTACCACTGTATTACAATTGCCTATAGTATATAGTTACAGTAACATGTTTTACAGGTTTGTAGCTGAGGAGCAATATACCATATAAGTATATTCCATATAGCCTAAGTGTATGGTAGGCTCTATCATCGAGACTTATGTAAGTACACTCTATATGATTATACACAACAAAATCACCTAGTGATGTATTTCTCAGAATGCATCCCCATCATTAAATGACACATGACTTTAGTATAGTTTGAATTGTCCATGTTATACCTTCTTCCATTAATATAGATGGTTGAAATTTTAATTTTTAAAAAATATTTAAACCTTTAATCATCTTGGTATGCTGCTCTTTAAATACTTTTAACAAAGGCTTCACTTCTTTGAAGTGAATCTTTAATTAGGTTGGATTATATGGGTTTATAATTCTTAAAATTTAAGAAGGTTAAAATGTTTTCCAATATTAAATGCTAATGCCTTCCAAGATTTCTGATTTAATTTTTATCTCTCTGACAAAAATAAAATGCATATTTTAAGTTGAACTTTGACTTCTCTTACTGAAGCTAATTGTTGAAATGTCTTATATAGTCTGTTAAAGGGGTAAGAAGGGTATTGATCTTTGCTGAGCACCTACTGTGTTCTAGGAACTGTGTTAAATGTTTTATGCATGGTATGTCATTTAATACTTCAAACAACTCTTAAAGAATGGTATTAGTTTCCTTAACTTACAGATGGAGAAAAGAGAACTCAGTTAAATAAGTCCCAACATTAAACTGTTTTGTAGCAGAGTTAATATTCATCCTTTGTCAATTTGGCTCAAAAGTCCACATGCATTTCAATATACTCCTCTTTCTCTTGTAAGTTAAGGAACAAATGAAAGTGATTATTTTTCAGAATCTACTGGGACTGAACCAAAATTACCAAATTACCAAATTTAGAAGGATTCCCCAGAAAGATTTTACCTGTGAAAAGATTAGGAGAATTAATATTTAGTACTAAGAATCAGAATGGAAAATTTTGAGCTTTTGGTTTTGAAACTTTCTGTAGTCTCATTTCCTAGTAATTCCTCAAGTTAAAAACATTTAAAGCAGTTTTTGAGCCCTTGTGTGCAAAGCTCTGTATTAGGAGCTCACTCCTTGAATAACAGGTTCTATTCCCTCTACAGTGGGTTTTGAATAGTGCAATTCTGGTCTTCATAACCTTATTGGAATTTTCCTGTCAGTTCTATTCAAATTTTAGGAATACTATACTAACTTCTTAGGCAAATCCTAAACTATAACCATATAAGAATAACTAAAATAATACAAAAACACATACATATATATTTAGAAAATAAACAGTGGAGACTATTTAAAGCAATATTAAGTCAAAATGACAGCAGGATCCAAAATGTGGGCAAATATGAAGGAAGGTGAGTCCCTCATTAGTTTGAGACAAAATTATATGATGGCATTAAGAAATTAGGGTTTGAAGTGGGTTATTACCAATGGCAATCCCATAAATTCAGTCACTGTGCCAAATGTTTGAGAGCAATAATGATACAGATTAACATACAAAAGCAAATAATTTCTTAGTTTATCAGAGATTCATTAACATAACTACACAACACAATTTTACCTTTTTACACTTTAGAAAACATAGGTTAGATTTCATGTAGTATTTAGAAAAGTAGTAATAGTATACAGTAGTGATTTAGCTATATTTTTGGGCTTTTCATTCTTCAACTCAAAAATGAGGAGTTGGATTCATTAATTATCCTTTAAGAGTCCTTCCTGGTCAAAAATGTCATAATTCTAAGTACTTTTAGTAGGAAACACGTGAAGATATTCAGAAAGGAAAGAGGTTGCAGTAGTTAAGAAAGTTAGCATTGTTGACAAAAAAGTTATGTGATGTGTGGATAGGAATAAAGACAAAGGAATGCATCCTTGTTAAAGAGTAGTAAGATTTTACATGAGTAGTAGAACACTTGACTGAGCGCTGAAATGATGTTGCTCTGTATAAAATACACACTTACAGGCTCTTAATTTGGTTGGTAAATTTATATATCCTTAATTTTAATCAAAATATCACAATGTATCAATATTTTGACAAATCCATTTATGGAAAATACATAAGAGTCACATTTAATAGGACTTACATATATTTGAAAATGAAAATCCCATTAAATGAAAACTGTAGAATCCTCTTCCAAAATGTAGTTAAGCTTGAAATTTTACCCATGGATTTATGTGAAATGTACATCAAGTTCTCAAATAACTTTATTCAGAACCATAAACATAAAAAATGCTTAATAAATAAGTTAGAATCCTAAATTAAGTTTATCTTTGAACAGTAAGTCCTGTATTTTACAGTTTTTAAATGACTATACATGATATATTCACTATACTAACAATATGCTCTATTGATACAGATCTATATCTTACCTGAAAACTGTTGAAAAGAGAAAAATTCAACCAATTCAAAGTTTTGGTCCATATTAGCAAAAATTTATGAAAATACAATTTGTGCTAAATAAAATTAATTTTGGTTTGCTGAATCAGCACATTCCTTTTGCAGCTACATTACATAGCTTTTCAGAAGTTTAGCTGAATTACCAGAAGTTTTATGCACAATTGCCTAGAAGCAGGACTAAAAAGCATCCAAAAGTTTTCCCTGCAAAAAATGAAATCTTATCTGAAGATTTAGTTATACTTTTAAAATTTATTCTGTAATAACATCCTGAAGAAACTAACATTGTAGCCTTTGAGTTAGAAAATAGTATTATAGCCTTTGAATTTTAACATAACAAAGTGAGGACACCAGGGACTATAAAAAGGATGCATGCATCAGTCTTGCTCAGCTCAAGACAAAGTACTGTTAAGATGACCTACAAATAGCTCTTGACAGAAAAGTTCATTATAAATCTATTTAAAAAACATTTAAATCCCCAGATGAATTCCTATGTCAGCTGCTGTGTTAAATGCCCCCAGAAGATGTGTGCATTCATTTCAATCTAATATTACTAACTAAGGGGGTAGTTTGGTATGGCAAAATAAATCTAAAGGGTTTGGTAACTTTCATTTTAAATGACACAAACTACTAAAATAAATTAATTGAATTATTGAAAGACAGAGGTAAAAGAAAGGTTTTAAAAATATAAATGAAAGGAAGATCCAAGTATTCTTTAACCTAAAAAGCTTTTCAGACCTAATAGGCATGACAAAACCTGTCTTCATTCCTTTCTATTCAGCTCAGCAAGTGCTTTTGAGCTCCAATAGTTAATCAGTTACCAGATTCCACAATCTTTGTTTTTCACACTCCTCAATTCTTGCAGTGAATTGTTCCTCTACTGTACTTAGGATCACCCAGCAGGCCAATACTTTTTTTCTTTGGCCTTAAAAAGGCAATTATGTATCCACAATTAGATTTACCATATACAGTTGTTACCATATAGCAATAGCCTGTAAAAACATAATAGTGTATTATCAAAGAAGTAGATGGCTTAAGATGAATCACTAATATATGAAATCTATTTAGCAAATTATTCAACCCAGCTTTTTAAATGGCTGTAGCCATGCCCAAATTACAAAGAAGTCTAGCAAAAGTATATTGTATAAGCAAATACTCTTTATCTAAATGAATCAATGAACATATATGTGTTATAATATCTAACCAGATTTACAGAAAAGGTATAATGCAGATATTACCATGTTAAAAATAGATATCTTCTTATATATCATTTCTTAATTTAACCTTTCAAAAATGCATACAAAATTGAGAAATATAAAAAATATATTAACTTACCCTTCAATTTATTTAGAAAACCTCTGCTCTTGGTCAAAAGCAGAACATGTTTCACTGCTCACTTTCCCTGGAGCTATGAGTTTAACATTAAATTAGTGGACGCCACCTCTCTGGACCACACTAGAGTTTGCTAGACACTACTGCTATGGGGAAGAGTTCTGCTGCATCTAAGCAATATACTGTGTGCAATGGATAACCTAATATGCCTTTCATTTAACTGGCTGGGCAGGTTTCTACCGTCTGTGGAACATGGAATCAAACCAGAATATGTTGGCATAACAGGCCAGTCAAACTGGTTCTTCTGTAGATCCAAAACCTGTCTGACCAGTCTGTATCAAAGGGTAGCCCAACATGCTGCAGCGGCTCAGTTCTGCTAAACTTGTACTGGGTGAGTTATCCCCACCTCCCATCAACTCCCAACAAACTACTCAGAATGTTGTAGCCTCCAGCAAAAAAATTCAGAGTTCTAGTGGGAGGCGTAGATCTGTGTCATGCATAGCAAGAGTTCATTGTTATAAGCCTCTCATGGTAGATACATATAAGCAAGTGGTCTATTATCTCAGAGGTAGGTAATCCTTCTTAAAATGTATTCTAGGGCTCTCTGCTAACTAAAGCCTCTAGAAAAAGATTATCTACAATGTAGAATCCCTTAATGTCTGACCTTTTCCACTAGTTTACTTGGATTTGATTGGTCTAGTTTAGCCTTGAGGGGAGAAATTAATATTCCCCACAAGGGTAGTATCCCTGAGAGTTAGAAGGAAGCATTTCTAGAGGGAGAGAAACAAGGTGTAAGTTGACCAAACATTTGCCTGGGTGTGTTATCTTCCTTGTTCTCAAATGGTCCTCATACCATTCTAGTCTAAAATTGGAAAAACTCCTACTTCCACATACTAGGGACAACTTAGAGAGGTTTTATTTTGAATATTCAACAGTTCAAAACAAACTTGTTATCTACTATGTTTCAGGAACTGTGCCAGGTACAGGGTTCACATTGGTGAAAAAAACAAATTTAGTACCAGATGGGAGCAATGTCACAGTTCTTGATTAAGTATGTTTAGTAAGCTTTTGGAAAGAAGAAATGAGCAACACAAAGTTACATTTTGACAGAAATTGATTTGTGTTAAGGGAGATCATGTGAGATTTGTTCTTACTCTCTTATAATACTTGCACATTTAGAAACAGTCTTTTCCTATCCTACTGATGCAGTGATTCTGAAACTTTCCTGCTTAAGTGTTGTTCAAGAACACAGATTCCTGGACTTCACCTCCAGAGATTCTGATTCAATAGGTCTGGGGTGTTGCCCAGATTCTTCTCCTGATTCTGATGCAGTTGCTGTGGGTCTAGACTTCACACTCAGGTTCTTTTCTATTTCTATACCTAATTAAATAGAATGAATATACATGAACCAAAAACTGCCATATTCATTTTTGTATCTCTAGTGTGTAGAACATTGAGTGACACTTAGAAAGTACTTACTAATGCTTATTTAGCAAATATCTACTCAGAGTTAACACTTGCTAGATCCCAGGGGAATCACAACTAGTAACTATTGTTTAAATCAAACTCCATTAAATACTGTAATTATAATAATTGAAGAGGGAACACAGAAAAGGGAGCAAGTATGACTATAAGTACAGGGAAGAATTTACAAGGGAGATTGGTTTAGAGACTTTTCTTTTTTAACCATAACCAAAGATTTTTATCTGCAGGATAACAAAAGATTGGAGGAACAATAAAAATCTGTCTTTATTTGATAGAGTAATAAAAGTGTTAAGTATCTGAGGACACTATGAACTCAAAACTTGGTAATAAGGTAATTTTCTACAGCAGGAGTCAGCATAATTTTCCCATAAAGGATCAGAGACTAAATATTTTAGAGTTTGTGGGTCAGATTGTCTTTGTCTCAACTATCAACTATAACATTGTAGCTCAAAAGCAGACATAGACAATAGTCAGTGAATAGGTGTGATGATTGTGAAATATATATTTGGTCTATGACACCCCCCCCAAACCCCCCAGCCCCCCACCCCAGTTTCCTGACACACAACTTCTAAAATCTTTAGAATCTCCACAGTAATGTCTTTTTGAATGCTAATGAGTTGATTGGTAGCTGGCAGCCCCTACAGTAGCTTCAGGATGGGGCAGGTCACCAGAAAGACAAAGACAAAGATTAGAGGGTTGGGACTTTCAGCCCCACTCCCCAGCCTTTGGGTAGGGTCGAGGGGCTGAAGGTTAAGTTGATCACCAATGGCCAATGGTTTAATCAATCCCACCTCAATCACACCTATGTAATGAACCCCTAAAAAAATCCAAAAGGGCAGGATTCTGAGAGCTTTCAGATAGCTAAACATATGGAGGTTCCTAGTGTCAGGGCGTTCCACCAAAACCAGCCTGTTTCTCTTATCCCGCTCCTAAATTGAGCAGCTACTAATACAGCTAATGAGGTGATTTTGGGTCATACTTCTGATTGGTTGACTACCATGTAAATGAAGTAACTTTTGGGACATACTTCTGATTACTATGTAAATGAGGTGACTTTTGTGAAAACTTGCCATTGGCTAACTGTAACCCTCAAAAAGGTATAAAACTAAAAAAACGAAAAAGGGGCGCTCATAGTTTGGTGGCAGATATGCCTCTCTGAGCCTGCCTGCGAAATAAAGCTGACTCTCCAACTCTCCATGTGCTGCTCGGGTTTTTCTTCGGCCAACAGCTGTTCACACCTGCCCGAACACTAGAGGGTGCCATGCCCGGGAGGGCATGGAAGTTCTACAACCTTCTCACATGCCTTACCCTGTGCATCTCTTCATCTGTACCCTATTTAATAACTTTTATAATAAACTGGTAAATGTAAATGTTTTCCTGAGTTCTGTGAGTTGCTCTAGCAAATTAATTGAACTTAAGGAGGGAGTTATGTGAATTTATATCAATTTATATACTCCAATTTATATCAGTCAGAAGCATAGGCAAACAGTCTGGGGCTTGCCTTTTGCATTGGAAGTGGGGGCAGGCTTGTGGGACTGAGCCCTCAACCTGTGGGATCTGATGCTACCTCCAGGTAGATAGTGTCCGAATTGAATTGGAGGATACCCAGCAAGTGTCTGCTACAGAATTGATTTCTTGCTTGTTGGTGGGGAGATATCCCCACACATTTGGTCACAGAAGTGTTCTGTGCTGATGATTGTTGAGAGAATAGAAAAAGCACTTTGTGTGTGTGTTTCTTTTCACACACTGGGTGTGACTGTTCCAATAAAACTCTCTAAAACAGATGGCAGGCTAGATTGGCTAGTGAGCCATAGTTTGCTGACCCCTGATCTAGAGTAAACTTGTAAAAATTAATAAGATTGCATAATTGGCTATTAAAATGGGCTTTGAAGTCAGAAAGCTTGGGTTCTCTTCGAATTCTGTTCCACACTAGCCTTGTTATCTATATCAAGTATGTTTTATTTATAAAATGGGGATAAAAATAATATTACCTACCCCCTAGAGTTATTATAACAGTGAAATAACATAATTTATGTAAGGGGTTGTCTGAAGATCTGGTATACCATAAGGGCTTAATTAAAAAGTCAGCTAACTAAGTGGACACATAGGTACTACATTAATAGGGTATTGGCAGGGGGGAGGGAGGGCAGAGTGTATATAATAATAATGAGTGAGATGTCGCCACCATCTGGAGATGGTCATGATGTAGACTCAGACTTTTGGGGGGGAGGAGGAATGGGCATTTATTGAAACCTTAAAATCGTATCCCCATAATATGCCGAAAATAAATTAAAAAGTCAGCTAAAAATAAACAAGTTAAACATGATAATTGGCTATAATCCCAGCTGATAGAGAGGCTGAGGCAGGAGGATCAGTTGAGCCAGGAGTTCCAAGACCTAGCCGTAGGCAATCATACCAAGAACCCCATATCTCAAAAAAAGTCAAAATAAATAATTTTTTCTTTTTTGAGGACAGAGTCTCGCTTTGTGCCCAGCGCTAGAGTGAGTGCCGTGGCGTCAGCCTAGCTTCACAGCACCTCAACTCCTGGGCTCAGAGCATCTCTGCTTCAGCCTACCGAGAGCCTGAGACTATGAGGCATGTGCCACCATGCCCGGCTAATTTTTTCTATATATATATATCTTAGTTGGCCAATTAATTTATTTCTATTTATAGTAAAGATGGGGTCTCGCTTTTGCTCAGGCTGGTTTTGAACTCCTGACCTCGAGCAGTCTGCTCGCCTCGGCCTCCCAGAGTGCTAGGATTACAGGTGTGAGCCACCAAGCCTGGCCTAAATAAATAGATTTAAAAATTTTTAAACTATGGTAGTTGAATATCAGTGTTTATTTCTTTGATTTCTTGAAATCCTACTGAAATAAAAGTAAAGAACCAAAACAGTTTGAACTCTTAAAGATCAAAAAAATGAGAAAGGTAGCAGATAAGAGATGTCCATATATTTTTTGGAAGAAGGAAGGAGGATGGGTGGTGACTGACTTAGTAGAATACAGGTGTCAGCAGACTTGTGTTCCCTTATGGAGGCTCTAGGGGAGAAAAAGCTGTTTTTTTACTTTTTCCAGCTTCTAGTAGGTGCCAGGATTTCTTGGCCCATGGCTCCCTTTTATCTTCAAAGCCAACAATGGCTAATTAAGTCTTTCACACATCTCATCATTCTGATCCTGACTGTTCTGCCCCTCTCTTCCACATTTAAGTCCAACTAGATAATCCACTAATATAATCTTCCTATTTTAAAGTCTGTTGATTAGCAACTTCAATTTCATCTGCTACCTAAATTCTCTTTTGCCATGTAATATGACATAATCATAGGTTCCTGGGATTAAGATGTGTGGACATCTTTGAGAGGCCATTATTCTGCCTACCACAGAGGTTAAGTCCAAGTCTATATATTGGTTGTTGAGATACTCTGGTCTATTTGTCTGCTTGGCTTCCAAATGGTAGTGACCAGGTTTGTGTTCTTTACTCACAAAGCAGGAAATTGGAGAATTTCTCTCTGATAAGCTCTCAAGACTGATCACCCTACTGCACTGGTTATAAACTAGGGCTGATTTTGTTCCCTAGGGGACATTTGACAATGTCTTGAGAAATTTTTGATTGTCACAACTACAGAAGTGGGTAGAGGTGTGCTATTGGCATCTAGTGGGTGTGGGTAGGGATACTGCTAAACATCTTGCAGTACACAGTACAGCTCATCTTTCTGCTCCAATAAATAATCATTCAGTTCAAAATGTCAAATAATGCCAAGGTTGGGAAATCCTACCCTTATGTTAAATCTGTCATTTAACATCACCCTAACGTGAGAATCTAACATGGAAAGAAACCAACAGATAAAAAGAACTTATAGACAACAGTCAATGCAGGGAATAGAATAATATTTTAAATCCAACTATATCA